AACGCTGACCGATAGAATTTAATCTGCACCAGACAAAGGACTCGACACATCACACTACTTACTAACTAGTGTTTAATCAAAGTATCCAGCATAGTCCTACAGAAGGTCAATCGTGAGCCCGAATAGCTCAGTGGTAACGTCTCTAACTGAAGGCGGCACTGAGTGACGCGGGTTCGAATCTCAGAAGGGACATGTGTTCCTTCAAGGTTGTAGATACGCCTTACTGATGAGTGCCAACTAGCACGAAACCTAGGTGGTGTCCAAGGCTTCCTACCGATTGCTTCCAACCATCTAACATACTGATTTATCGCAATTTGTAATATAACACGCCAGTCATTTACCGTCATAACTTTGAATAAATATTCGATTATTCAGCTTGGTTAAACACGCTCATTAAAGCTTTCCTCTCAGAATTTATAGAATCCACAACGTATCTAGTCGGTTATTCATCGCCTAGACCACTTTCTTCTTCATGTGATTTTGTAGTTTGCTGAGGGATGTTATATGACATACAAACAAGATAAATGGAATACATCACTACGAGTGTTTGATTGAAATTGCCCATTAAAATTTTTCAAAAGAATCGTTACTGAATAAAGGATATTCTTTTCGATATTTTCATCATCAGGTTCTACATTTATATGTAATAGTACTGAATGAATTAGTGCTATTAACAACATTAATGTTGTTCAAATGACATCGAATCAATCATAATATTCTCAATGGATTACAGTTCAATAGCGTCAACATAACAATAAATTGAATGTCAGAAAAATTGTGATAGATAATAATACAAATTCATGAATTTATAGTCTCCACTGAAGGCCAGCCAGGGCAGTAGTAGTGGCTGGCTGTATTTGCTTCTTTTGAACATTAAACAATGATTGTTTCACGCTAATCTTTATAGCCTTTGCTGTTTGGAGTATGCGATACCTCGATGTTGTGGCTATTTATTTGATACCCGGTAGATGATAGAGTAGAACTCTTCCATGCTGGCTTTGTCTCCCAGTTTGGGCCAGGTGGTCTAATATCGAACTCTTGATAGGTTTTACTACACCTTAATTAGCCATACCGGGAGGTGTTCTCTCGCACAAAATTTCAAGTTCCTAGAGCGACGGCCGATATAGATCACTCCACAAGGGCAGGTGAATTGATAGATACAACTGGAAGTGACTAGTCTAAGTACTTCCTCTTTCAATCGAGGAATCACCATCAGTCGGGTAGAAAATATGATTTATAGGTTGCCAGTATTAAAAATTCATTGAACTCATTTTCTTAACTTCTTCGTAATTATTTTGCTAGGTGTATCGCCCTTGAATTGTAGTCGTATGTATAAGGGCTTCTTGTTTACGGATAGTGAGTAGTGCTTTTCCGTTTTCTTTGTCATGTATTTCTTGATGAATTTGTTGTGATAGCTATTTTCAAATTTTACAGCAATTGCCAGTACATGTGCTAACATACATTCACACAACAGGATGGAAGAGAATTACAATTCTAAAGAGTAATGAAGGAAGTTAGAGGGGAAGGTTAATCATTGAATCTGTTTTTGTTCATTGATTCTACACCTAACACGTACCACCACAGGAATGATACAACAGTGATACCAAAAAAAATGTAAAATATTACTACCAATAAAACCACAGGATAAGAAATAATGCAGATCATATAAGCAAAGTTTCAAAGTAATATGAGTACTGCCCTTGACATGTATAAAACTACATATTACTGATTAATTTCGATGAGCAGTTGTATACTTCTCACACCAGCGAGTAGTGCTTGCTTGTGAGCCACATCGAGGTGATCTAAACACCAGTGGATGGTCGTTTCTCACTTGTTTAGGGTCGGGTGGTCTAGTGATTTACCCTATATCACTTAGCTCAGACAGTCCATAAGCTTTCAATTGCTTCTCGCGTGAGTTCCTCCATGTCATTCTCTAAGTGACGTCCAACTGGTCGTTCCCCATTCAGGCTTTACTTAACAGCCTGTCACGTGATTTCACTCAACGGTCTTCTCAGAAAGGTATCTCATCCATTCCTATTTCCTTCTACACATTTGTTGAGTAATAGGTTCTCTGTTGGTTAACTACCTGTCAGATTTGCTTGTTGCTCATCCTTCCTCACCAGCTATCTGATCTTCTATATCTAGACAAGACAGACTTTGACAAAAGTCTACATTAGCCCGTCGAAGATGCTTTTCATCAGGCTATAAGCCTCTGATCATACTCCACTATTCACTGACCAACTCAGAAAGAGAAGTCTCTATTTTATCGATGGTTTGCGTTAGTTTATCCTTACATAAACGCTAAGCAACAACTCATTGTCCTCCGGCAACATTTGACATTAAATAAGAGCAAAAATTAATGAACACATAAAGTTTATATTAATATATGTGTAAAACTTAAGCACTGTGGTAGTAAAAAATTGCGTATTATTTTGTTTATTAGATGTATCACTCACAGTGAGTGAAACAGTATTATTATGTACTAAATGACATTTCAAACACAGTCTAGTATTGTTCATAATCAGATCATCAGTTATAATCACACGAATTCAAAACATGAGTTTTATAGTTTTCTTTGTTCTCTCTTATTTGTCGTCGTGTTGGGGTAGCAGAATTTTCCAGATATCTGAGTGGACAGGTGTTGAATCATTCCAATTACACGTGTTGGTTTGCAGTTGATTCGATAAACAACGTTTCTGTTATCAATCTCTCCCTCCACCCTGCTGTGACGTTAGATTTTAAAACTGTCACCTTATCCCATCCTTTTGTATGGTTGTGTGTGTAACTAAATGTAGTGCTTGCGATAGCTGAAGTATTCTCTAGATTTATTATCTTATTTGCTTCAACCAATCTACATTTTCCTAGGTCCTTATGTTCGGCTAGTCTGATTGACTGCCCCTGTTCTACTACTTTCACCTATGTATTTGATCTGACATTCATTCCAGCTGGGTATTGGATAAGCTAAATTGTTTTGTCTAACCAGCTCCACAGAATTGTTCCTTTAACTGACAAAGCTTGTTTCTAATTGAGTTTGTGGTTGGTTTGAATGCCAGCCACTGTTATTCCTGTCATCATTGTTAAGGTTTCCGAGGTTTCTTCGCTGTATGGAATTACAAGCGATGATTTTGATTCCTTATTGCTAGTGTTGTCTTGCGCATATTTGACATGCATATCGTCATTAATATCACTATTATTATTATTATTATTTTTAATATTGTCACAATCACTACTATCGATTTTTATTTTATTTTTACTTTTCCTTACATACTTTCTGACTAATTTATCAGGATAATAATTAAGTTTCAAACCTTGTCTTATATGTCTCACTTCCTGTCTTACATTTTCCTTGGTACTACTTAGATTTTGTTCTCTATCACTTAAACATTTCACCAATCCTATTTGTTTATCGAATCAACTGCAAACCAACACGTGTAATAGAAATGATTCAACACCCGTTCACCGAGATATCTGGAAGATTCCACTACCCCGACGACGACAAATAGAAGGAAATAAAGAAAGCTATAAAACTCAAGTTACGAAGTCGTGTGATTATAATTGATGAAATGATTATAAATAATAAATTTTGTTCGAAACTGTGTCATCCAGTAAATAATAATACTGTTTCACTCACTGTGAGTGATATATCTAATATTATTATTATTGTTCCCTTGGGTTCTTAGTGGAACATAGAGCAACTGCACGTCTCCATTTGCTTCTATCTTGCTTCTGATGTACTTTTCACCTGCATCCGTGTTAGTTAGTCCATACTGTCTCAACTGCTTAACTCTTCACACGATCTCCTCCATGTCACTCACCCTTGCACTAACATCCCACTCGCCGCTTCCCTTTCGGCCTGGTTCCACTCGAGCAATGGCCTGAAGCGCGCGATGTCATCCAGCGGTCTCCTCAGCGAGTGTTCAATCCATCTCCACTTTCTCCTGCATATTTGTTGGTTGGCGAATGATTAGTTCTTGTTTTGTTTGTTTGTTCCCATAGTTTCTTGTTGGTGATTCTTTCCGGCTCGGCCATCTCATCTTCAGTATAGATCCAGCGAAGACAGTTGTTGGTTGATAAAGGTCTGCAACAGGCTGTTGGAAATATTCTTTGTGACCCACCCGCCAAGTTTCTGACCCGTATTGAAGAACTGACTGACTTGACGTTTGTATTGAATTGAATCCGACCGAATTTTGTTGTCGATACTGGCTGAATGACGAAGATTTCCTACCAGATTGGTTTCAGGTTGATGAATGTGTTTCTCGCTCGCCTTCCCGATTCTCACTCAATTTGACATCCTCGTCCGTTCTGACTGCGTGTAGTTGAGACAATGCTCCCTAGATCAGTGAGTGAATGAAGTAACCTCTTTCAGATCCCTCCCGTTGATGGTGATTGGCGCTGTATGTTGCTGCTGTCTTTGTTGTTGTTGGTTGGTTGGTTGGTTATTTTCATAACCTCCGTCTTGTCTATGTTCACCTGGAGTCATGTCTTCGCCGGCTGCTTCTTCGACCGACCAGTTTGTCGGTCGGTTTTCGCTTGTAAGTCTTCGATTTTGTTACAGTGACATCAAACATAAATCATCCACACGCGAAATCCAGGTCTTCTAGGTTCTTCACATCGGTCGGTCCAGGATATTCCTGTCTTCTCGTTTTCCACTGTCTGACGCATAATCCAGTCCACCACAATTAGGAATATCACTCATTGGTGGTATTAAGCCCCCTTGTCTGACTCCTGTGTTTACTGCAAACGCCTCGCTGAGTTTTCCGTTGTGGATCACATGACATGTTCCGTTGTTGTACAGTTGTTGAATAAGGTTGATGAATATTTCGGGTTCACCGTAGTACTTGAGTAGTTTCCAAATTACTTCTATATCTAATAAACAAACTAATATGGAATGGTTTACTTAAGTTTATCATACAAAAACGCTAAGCAACAGTTCACTGTCCTCCACCAACATCTAGCATCAGATAAGAGTAAAAATTACTACACATATAAAGCTTACTTACTTGTTGGTAGAATGACATAGTTGGATGCTTCAGATGAACTTCGTGTTGTACGAGTTTCTTCATCAACTGAATCACATTCATACGAAATATCATCATCATAATTATGATCTATATCGCCTTCATATTCATTTGACAAATAACGACCATTATTATTATTATTAGGACTGAATGCATGTAAATTAGGCTTCTTTAACAGATTATCTACAGAATTCATATTGTCTGTTTGATGAAAGGAGGAATCATTTGTACTCCATTGGGGTACTTGAAGAGTTAACGGCCCACCTGTTTCATCACCAGGCTGAAGAATATCAAAAAAAAAGAGGAGGTGGATAGATTAAGAATAGTAGAAGTGTTGCTTTGTTGAGATTTTATTGGCATCTTTTAAAGTACTGTACTGAAAAAACCTGAGAATACTAGACAGCTGTTTCGGCTTAGTTTGAGACTTTCTAGCCATACATACTCAGAGGGGTTCGAACCCTTTTAGTCCTTCCGGTGACTAAATGGTCTACGAGGTCGCCTTGCAACCTTGTCCACTACTCATTTATGGTTTCTCACTGGTTCTCTAACTGATATCAGTTCATAATCAAACCTGTACTAATTAGAGACGATTTGATAGCTCAGCTGAATGTCTTCGATGTGACTGTTTTTTTTCTGAGCGGTGGATAATTTAAACTGAGAAGCCTTCATTATTTTGTTTTTCTTCGGGAAAAAATCTTTAACCAGTGAAATTGGTCTTTAGGAATTCTGCAGGATTGATGACCTCATAGGCATGGTAGTCCAAAAACTCTGCCGTGAGTAGATATGTTCACATGACTAGAAAGTTATCTATCAGGTAAACAAACCAATACAAATAGAAGCAAAGATAAGAAAACTTTTTAATACAGAGAATCACAGTCACCACGAGAGACAGTTATGCATCATCCATGGAGAATTCCCCAAGCCAACCTATCAAACCAAAAGCCCCCAAGGTAAGCACAATGAAAATTGCCCTACCATATACAAAGTTTATGTCAGAAATCACCGCAAGACGTCGCTCACAAACCAACAAAATCACTTCACTCAGCTGGTTCTATGTCAACCAAAAGACTCAACAGCCAAAGAAGATAAAACCAACATCATCTACAAAATAAATTGTAACAACTGCGGAAAATACTACATTGGCCAAAGTGGACAACATCGTCTGCGTGTTCGTATCCACGAACATACGTTAGCCGTCAAAAGATATGATATTCACTCCATCATAGAGCCTCACTGCATACAGACAACCGCGGACATCAATTCGACTGGGACCACTAGAGTTCAAATATTAGACAGAGGAAGCACCAAGAATGCCAGAGAATTTTTAGAAGCCTGACTGGTACTCCAGTGAATCATCAATCAATAAACAACCTATAAGAAAGAAACCTCACATACAAAGGGTCAAGGTTCAAGTCAATTAAATAATCAATTCCAATACGAGTAACCTAGAAGGTGGGAAAACACACAAAAGCAACCAATCACATCCAAGGCCACCCGGAGATATGATTAATAAACTCGTGGGGAAATATAAAAGCTGAATTCAATAAATTGAAGTATGCGCTGAAGATGTCGCCTAGTAGGGCGTTGAAAGCTTCGCAAATCAACTATCCAGCTCAGAGAGCACAATCACATCAAAAAAGAATTCCAAAACAACAAATCACTCCACACTGTAGTAAGCTCTGAAGCGAATTTGTCTAGGAGGCGAACAATAAAGCTTTACCAAATGAGTTACTCAACCTAGGGAACACAACCACACCGAAAAGAGAAGTAAAACTTTACAATGTAAATAATGCCTCGGTAAAAGTAAAGAACAGAAACCATACTAAAATGACATTGAACCAACCAATCAGATCGGTCAGAATTACGTATGGCTGCTTTTCATAATCTTCGTTATAAGTTCCACTCTAACCCTAATCTTCTTTGTAAGTTTCACCCTAATCCTAATCATAACCCTGAGTTGCTTCACGATAATTCTTGCACTGAAGAATATAAAAAGCATTCATATGTAATACTGTGGCGAGAGCAGGCTGCTGGCCAATTGGTAGACATTAATCTAGGCTGATTCAACAACCAATCACAGCAGACTTAAACGTGGGCGAATATGATTCGCAGATGAATGGCTCTACTTTCCAAGAAACATCGAAGACAACCAATCAGAAGACTGTGTTTGTCTGCTTAACTTCCGGGAAACAACCAATCAGAAGACAGCCTTTTTCTGCTTGCATAAGCCTTATTAATGTACATAAAATATATATAAATACGTGTTGATTTTCGTAATAAAACGATCTGTTGCCTGGCCCTTGTCTTCTGTTGTTACAATACCGGGTGACATGATTGATTGGTTCAAGGTCATTTAACCGTGGAGTCTATACTTTAATGTTGTTAACTCATCGTTTACTACTGAACAATGGGAAAATTTACCTAGTTAAAGTGGGATTTAAATCTCAGAAGAAACGAAAACTGGCGAAGACTTTCATCCTAGATCTCATCAAGGACTGACATCACCTAGAGAGTTAGTGAGAACCCGAGAGTAACGAATAGCTGTTTCATTTTAGTTTGCGACTCTTCATCAGTCCGCAGCTGCTACCCGGGAATGAAACTATACCCTTAAGTTAAGAGGTGAGCTGGTTAACCATTCAGACACTGGGTTGGAATTCAATGAAGTTTGAATTCTAACTTCTTTCAGTTTGCGAGACATAGTGCTATGGCCAATCAACAGCATAAATGAGCATCCGCTTCAACCAGACATTATGGACTCATCTGGCCACGAGGAAGGACTCTTCTCATTGGTTTGATTTACTTATCTGTAAGACCTCTTGTTTGATTTGTTCCCCTGATACGTATTATATTTTGACATTTATCTCTATGCTTTCCCAGAATTACCAGTGAACATCAACCCCCCGACGAGAACAAAAGTCCTGAAGGCAATCAAGATGCTAAAAGCTGGAAAAGCAGCAGGACAAGATGGAATCCCTGCAGAAGCATTGAAAATGGACCCAGAGACAACAGCGGAATTGATGACGCCACTACTGGAGAAGGTGTGGAAAGAGGGCGAAGTACTTGTGGATTGGAAGAAGGGCTATTAATTAAAACTGCCAAATAAAGGCGATTTAATTAAATGCATGAACTGGCGCGGAATTATGCTCCTGTCCATCTCAAGCAAAATACTAGGCCGCATCATCCATCCTGGAGAGAATCAAACACGCCCTGGATAAAAAACTTTGACCAGAACAAGCTGGATTCAGGAGAAACATGTCATGTATTCATCAAATCACCACAATACGTATCTTCATTGAACAGAGCTTGGAGTAGCAGTCAGCTCTCTATCTCAACTTCATCGACTTTGAAAAGGTCTTCGACAGCGTCGATCGAGAAGTCATTCGGCAACTACTTTGCTACTACGGGGTCCCATCGACATTTATGCACCTCATCCAACAGTTGTACGACAATGGTGCATGCCAAGTAATCCACAACGGTAAACTTACGGAAGCCTTCGAAGTAAGGACGGAAGTGAGACAAGGCTGTCTACTATCACCAATGATTTTCCTGATTGCAGTAGATTAGGTAATGTGACAGATAGCTGGCAGCGAGGAAACAGGCATAAAATGGACTCACACAAAAAACTTGGAGGATCTGGACTTCACCGATGATATATGTCTGATTTCTCACAAAGTGGAAGATATGCAAGTGGTGAAGAGCAACAGTTGGCAGAAGAAGCACCAAAGATAGGACTTCCTTCAGGGTGAACACAGAGGTGATGAAGATTCCTGGCCAACAGACAACAATCAGCAAAAATGAGAGGAACCTGAAAGAAACAACCTCCTTCACCTAGCTGCCTAGGAAGCATCGTTTCAACTACAGGCGAACGGAACTGACGAGGATATCAAAGCGAAAATCGGAAAAGCAAGACAAACCTTCATTACTCTCAAGTCTGTGTGGAGGTCAACATCACTCATCATGAAAAATAATATCCGGATTTTCAACTCCAATGTGAAGTCAGTCAGTGCTACTCACTATACGGATCAGAGACTTGGCGCATCATAAAGAGCATCTTGAACAAACTACAGACCTTCATCAACAGCTAGCCATCTTCGCTCAATACTCAAGATCAGGTGGCCTGCCAGAAAAGATCAGCAACAAAGATCTCTGGCAATGAGCGAACCAACCAGGAACCGATTGTGAAACAAATAGGCAGGAAGAAATGGAGATGGATTGGCCATACACTGAGGAAACCATCAAGTGACATCACTAGACAAGCCATCGCTCGAGTGGAACCAGAAAGAGAAGCGGCGAGTTGGTCGTCCAAGGGTGACTTGGAGGAGGTCATGTGAGGAGAAGATAAAAGCATGTAGGCAGACTTGGAGCGGAGTGAAAAAGTTGACAGAAACCAGAAGTCAATGGAGACGCGCAGCTGAAGTCCTATGTTCCTCCAGGAATTAAGGATATAATGATAATAATATAACAATTTCCCGATAATACCTAAATTTCTAAACGGTCTTCTTCTCGTTTTATGGAGTATTTAGGCGAAAAACTCACATTCTCAACAATCTTCGCTAATGTGAGATGTTTTGACGATATTGCAAGATTAATGCCTTTTCTGTTCACAGTACTTGACAAAGTACTTTTTGATGTCTTTTAACCTCTTAATATCACCCTCCTCTCTAAACCTAAAACTGATGGACCAAAATAACCACTTGGTTTGTAAAAAACATTTGATGTAAAAAAAACTGAAGAGCCAATAATAGGAACTAATTGAAATGGAATGTATTTCTCCGCTCAGTTTTTGATTTTCTTTTCTAAATGCGTAAATGGGGATTTGGAAATACACACTAAAGTTGAAAATTCTGAGGGAGTTCCAAATTTGGTGAGAGCTGGCTGTTAGTCGAAGCTGGTGGACAGTAATTTACGTCAGTGTCTATGTCCCCAATAATTGGTCGTGAGAAAAATTGAGAAGAAAGGCTTTGGGTAGGCGGATACAGTTAACTTATAGATGTTGTCTGGCACTTGTCTTCTGTTGTTACACAAATATCTTACATAATAAGTATATTTGTGACATTGTTTCTTAGCCAGCCACATAAAATATACTGGCTTTGTAATCATTTACCCAAGTTTTTGGCCTCCTGGTGATACATCTGAACTGCGTGTTTCCAGTATATAAGCTTCCTGAGCGAAAGCTCCAGTAAAACTCACTCAAAACTTCCTTGTCGGCTAGTGACTAGAAGCAGAATCCTACCTAGGGCTTGTCAGATGGATAGACCTATTCCTCAGAGAATAATAATCTAACCTCTGATACTCGAATTCAGTAAGTACCCATTGAGTACTGAGTAACTAACTGTCATCGCACAGTAGATATAGCTTTGGCAAGAATATATTAGTTTGATTATTAGATGTGTCACACAGTGAAATAGTATTACTTACTGGATGACATCGTTTTGAACACAATATATTACTGTTCATAATCATTTCATCAATTATAATCAGGCGACTTCGAAACTTGAGTTTTATAGTTTTATTTGTTCTCTCCTATTAGTTGTCATTGGGGTAGTAGAATTTTTCAGATGTCCAAGTGGATAGGTGTTGAATCATTCCTAATACACGTGTTGGTTTGCAGTTGATTCGATAAACAAAGCTTCTGTTGTCAATCTCTCCCTCCATCCTGTGGCATTGGATTTTAAAACTATCATCTTATCCCATCTTTTTGCATGGTGTTGTGTGTAACTGCATGTACTGCTATAGCTGAACTATTTTCTAGATTTCTTATCTTATTTGGATCAACCAATCTAGATTTAGCTAGGTTTTTATGTTCCGCTAGTCTGACTGCCCCTGACCTATGTATTTGACCTGACAATCATTCCAGCAGGGTATTAGATAAATTAAATTGTTTTGTTTTAATGGCTCCACAGGATTGTTCCTTTAATCGACAAAGCTTGTTTCTAATTGAGTTTGTGGGTGGCTTGAATGCCAATCACTTTTATTCCTGCCTTGTTAAGTATTCTGCATAAGGTGGTTTCTGAGGTTCCTTCCTTGTATGGAATTACTGTTGATGATTTAGATTCCTTATAACTGGTGTCGTCATTAACATTATCACTATTATTATCATTACTATCACTATTATTATTATCATCATTATTATTGTTATCATTATCATTACCACTATCACTACTATCATTATTTACTTCAATTTTACGTTTCCTAACATATTTCCTAACTAATTTATCCGGGTAACTATAAAGTTTCAAGGCTTCTTTTATGTGTATTACTTCCTGTCTTAGATTTTCCTTGGTACTACTTAGTTTTGTGCTCTGTCATTTGAATATTTCACCAATCCTATTTTTACTGACATAGGATGGGATGAACGGAAGTCCAGATATCTGTTTGAATGTATGGGTTTTCTGCAAACACTAGTGCTTAACTTCCCATCTTCTTTCGTTTTTACGTTGCAATCTAACATTGGAAGCTCCCCTTCCTGGCTTTCCAGTTCATTAGTGAATTGAATTGCTTCTACCTTCGAGTTGATGTGTTCGAAAAATCTATCTATATCTTGTGTTTTAAGTTCAGCGGGGTGTGTCATCTGCATACCTCTACCATACTTTTGGGGTAGAGCTAAACGTTTCAATCGTTAACTTCTTAATAATATAATAATAATAATAATAATTGCTTTATTCCAAAAACAGTACTCATGATACAGCAAGGAATTTTCAGCATTCAGTACAATATTGCATCTAATTTACCCAAAAACGACAAAAAAAAAAAATTAAAAATACACAATACATAATAGTAATAAAACGATTGTTGTAGCAGCTACGTAGCAAAATACTGTGTGCCATACGGAGAAAAATATGTATAAAGTACAAAATTGTAGTAATAATAGTAATACCAACTAATATAAAATAGCAGAGTAACGATTTAAACGATAGAAAGTGTAACACCATAAAATACAGAAAGATGAGCGATAAAAGGGTCGATTCACTGTACTAATTACATAGTAACTTGTAAGTTTCACGTCTAACAGAGTCTTCGTCACATAAAGTACGCGCTAAATAGGGTATTGTAGAATTTCTATACTTAGTAGTACGAGCATATATCTTTTTATATTGACTTCTCGTCCTACCTGATGAGATACAAGGGGACAGGTGTGAATAAAGGGGGTGCAGAGGGTCTGACATTATAGCCTTTGCCCATTTCGTACAGGAATTTATATGCCTCTCGACTATAGTATTAGCGAGCTCATGCAGTGGCAGACCACAAGCTCTACTCACAGCATTTAATACTCTTCGTAATATGATATAATCTTTTTTGAGAAGCCCAGGAAAGATTAATGGAGAGCAGTAGAGTACAATAGGTAAAATACAGGAGTTTAAAAATTGCTAAACTAAAGGTTGGTTGATACCTGATTGTCTTAACTTTTTAATTTAATTCAATTCAATTTTTTATTTAATTTTCCATCTATCCAAGAATAAATCTGCTATAATCAAGGATATTGGTGATCCCATGTCAACTCCCTCAGTTTGTTTGTATATTTTCCCTTGGAATTTAAAACAAATTAAACAAACTAATATATGGAATTACTTACTACCACAGTGCCCAAGTTTTACACATATATTAATTTGGCAGGAACAGTATCACTCACTGAGTGAAAAGCAAATACAACCAGCTGACCAGTCTCGAAGAGGACAAACTACCTTTGTGTTTAGGGTTGTTTAGTAAAAGTTATTTCATTCATCAGCCTTCTTCGGACGATTATATTGTCATACGTATCGCGTAAAGAAGTCCAAGATGGTGGTTTGAGTAAGACTGGGAGAAAAATGAGATAACAACCAGATAACCAGTATTATGCCGACTAATTTTTTTAATCAAAGAATCTTTTTGGCCAACAGCTGTATGACTAGCCTAGAGAACACTTCCTTACCGCTAAAAATCAATTAGCTTCTTCTCTACAAGAAATACATCGACGATACTTTCATTAACTGTAAGAAGAATTTGGATCGAGAGAAAACCTGTTCTAAATATTCAGCAAGAGTAGAGGAATCCGAGAACAAAATACCATTTTTGGACGTCTTAGTCAAGCAAACAACTACAGGAGAATTAGAAACTCAAGTTTATAGGAAATAAACTAACACAGACCAAATACTGAATTACAACAGCAACAACCCAATAACACACAAAAAGGAATTGCATACAAACACTATTCAAGAGAGCAAGGACTCATTGCAGCACTCCCACATTAAGGAAAATTGAAGAAAAGTATCTCATGGACGTCTTCCAAAAGAATGGATATCCACGGAATTTCATCAAGAGACATATACTCCCAAGCCAACCTACCAAAGCAAAAGCCACCAAGGAAAGCACAAAGAAAATCGCCTCACCACATATATAATGGATATCTCAGAAATCACTACAAGACTCTTCAAACCTTTAAGAATTGACGTCGTACACAAACCAACAAAGTCGCTTCCCTCAATTCTATGTCAACCAAAAGACTCAACAGTGAAAGAAGACAAGACCAACATCATCTACAAAATAAACTGTAACAACTGTGAAAAACACTACATTGGCCAAAATGGACGTCCCCTTCGTCTTCGTATCCACAAACATAAGCTAGCCGTCAAAAGACATGATATCCACTCCCTCATTTCACTACACACAGACAACCACGGATATCAATTCGACTGGGACAACGTTCAAATATTAGACAAAGGAAACAACAAGAATGCTAGAGAATTTTTAGAAGGCTACCTGGTACTCCAGTGAATCATTAATCAATATACACATTGAGATAGACAAAATTTATCAACCGATAAGAAATAAACTTCACACACAAAATCTCATAGTTCAATTCAAAGAAACAATCAATTCCAATACAAGTAACCTAGAGTGTGTGAAAACACACAAAAACAACTAATCACGTCCAGGGTCACCCACCATGAGAGATGACTAATAGTGAACTCGTTGAAAAATCTTAAAGCTCACTTCAATAAACTGAAGTATGCACTGAAGATGTCACCCAGTGGGGTGATGAAAGCTTCGCAAACTAACCATCCAGCTCAGAGAACAAAACCACATCAAAATTCAGCAATGCCTACGTAAGCAGCGACTCTCTCACTCTTAAAATTAAATGTGACTCAACGTTCCCTTTCCTCAACGCTGACAGCTAGCTGAGGAGGTCTACCTACAAAAATCCCACATTTGAAATTCTCTTCCTCTAAGCAGAAAAATGAATTTCATCTATTCTCTTTACTCAAGAATTCGGAAAATAAGCACTGCAGAATTTGTTGATGAAGAGCTACAAAATCTCCAAAGAACCTCGACGGGAAAACGGCTTCCCACCCAAAAATAATAGTCAAGAGCCTGAAACCAAAGAAAGCTGCTGAATAAGTCCCTGTCGCCCCATAGAAACATGTTAGTCCATGCTGTTTCAGTACCTCTTCACACGATCTCCGCCATGTCACACTTGGACGTCCCACTCGCCGCTTCCTTTTCCGGTACTACTCAAGGGCCTGACGCGCTAAGAAAGGGAGAACTCAGAACACTCAGCTCCACTGGAAAAGTCCCTCAAAGTCTTATACAAGATCCGATCAAACCTCTCGAGGGGAGTGAGATCAGGACATGTGGAAGCAGCCAAAGTAATAATGGTGCAGAAGCCAGGGATCAAGGTTGTGTATCCAAAAGAAGTAGGGGCGACCATTTTCTTTACCATAGCCACCGTAAATAGCTAGTTTTCTCAGTATTTATCATTCGAGCATTTTTAATCTCTGTTTGTAGTCTTACTACTGATTACAATACGACTATGACCGGAAACAGCTCTGGAACTTTCTTACCCCTTTACAATATGTATAAACACGAATGTACAGTGTAGCTGATGATGTCGTTGAAAATTAAAACTGTTTTCACTGAAATTGTCTTTTTAATAAGTATATACCTTGATATTATTGGAAGACAAACAAAACTATTCTAGCAATATAAATAAAACAAAACTTACAGAGAATTCAACATTTTTCACATCTCCTCCATGACGTGATTTATCTTTGCCAGCTTTCTGATTGGCTGTTTTATGTTTACCGCGTCGTTTTAAACGATATGACCCAGCTCTAGATACTGGTGTCTTACTCTTAGGCGGATTTAATACATCCAAGTTCATTGATGAATGAATGTTCTCTTCGCTTTGTTGTTGCTGCTGTCGTTGCTGTTGATTCTGCTGTTCTGCCTGCTCGGCTAAATTCGCCTCCACACCAGCTATAACATCTTTAGCTGCTTGAAGTGCAGTATCGAAGGCTTGATTGCCACGTTTTGTCACCTTCATAAGACGTACCATATCTTCTAAATACTTTATACCTAGACAAAAATCAAGTGTAAGCGTGATAATGTCAGATGGATTACTTAGATAAGAGGAACATCTCAAAGACTAGTGAGCCCCTACTTTTATTCGAAATCATTCTGAACAAGGGGCAATATATATCAATAAACATTGAAAACCCACTTAGAACTTGTTTTTCAAGTTGGAGATTTAGTTTTCTTGGGGATCGAGTAAAGTCACTATGGTGTCAATTTATATACACTGGTATTATACCGAATGACATATAGATTATCTCCCTGCATTTCAAAAACTCTTTCTGTTATTCAACTGTTGACTTGTAGGGATTTGACTCGTTGCAGGTTTTCATCATGAGCTGATATCGGTTGGAGAACCATTGGAAAACCAGCTGGCAGTAATGAACAGCTGTTTCGTCTCCCGCCCCCAGATTCGGATTATTCAGAAGTTTTCACTGACATCACGGGGTTAGAACCCATAGCCTTTTGGTTACAAGGCAAGCGAGCTCGTAGACCATTCAACCACTGGTACCAGATCCGATGGCTAGCCCATGAATTCCAACTTCTGCCATTTACCACATGTTATAGAACTACTGGCACTAGCCAATATCACCGGTGGCGAATATTTGTCCTCATACGTGACCTGCTGTACCCCACCGGACACTACTTCCCATTTGAATACAATTAACTACCTACTTGAAAATGGCGAGTCGCTCTTTCTGTCGAAAGAAGACAATTTAAGAGGCAACGAACTGACTGTCGGATGGTAATCAGTATAATCTACAAGTTCTCAAGACTTATTGGAGAGTTTACAGTGTACATATTGGGCTGTTGGTTCCTAACTACAGTGGTTATCTATCCCCGTTGTTTTTCTTCCTTGTGTTCTGAGTGAAATATATGGCTTCAGCAGCAAATCTCCCTTCCACTCGACTCTGTACCATCAGTTTTAGCTGACTCGACAAAAGGCTCACAGATTTTCATTTCTTCCTCTTACAATCTTTATTTTTATTTTATTTATTTTTTGATTACAGCTTGATTCCGCACCGTATTTTGGTACAAGTATCGAGTTTTCAGTGTAGATATCTGTAGCCCAAATTTTGCAGGCCGACCGTAGATATCAGGTGTGCGTCGGCGTGGGCTCGAACCCCGGACCCTGTGCATGGTCGGCGAGAGTCCTAACCACTGTGCCGCCGACGCACACAATGTCATCTCTACAGACTCACGATCAGCTCCTTGCTTCCCATTCTTGTTCTACTGGAGGGTACGGCGTGTAGTGGTACTTAGCAGGCTATTTAGCATGTGTCCAATTCATGCTTATTTTCTTCGGGATATTAGTTACGTAATAAGTCGTTACTAGTCTACCTTGTAGCTTATTCTTTCTGGCTATCCAGTCTTCAGAGTCGACTGAATGAAATTACCGATAAAAACATAAAATATATATACAATCACTGAGTGTGACTTGACATTCGTGTTAAACACTGTAATGGACGCTTGTCTTGCATTCTCCGTCTTGTCCATCTTTCTCAAGGTGTTCAGAAGACTTTGCATTTTATCAATATCTTCATCTAGGAGAAGGAATGTATCAACCTTTATTTGTATGTCAACAAGACTACTTCCTGTTCCCTGGTAACACTTCAATCTCTAAGTCATCGATGTCAGTTTGAGTTAATTCCATTAGGACATCCACGATGAGATTAAACATAAAAAGGAAACAGTGAGCATCTCTGACAGACATCACTTCAGATGAAAACTCACTGTCACTTCGAATACAGTGTCTTCATTACTACGATATATTTTCTCGGCGTTTCGTTTTTTTTTTTTGATTTACAGCTTGGTTCCACACCGTATTTTTGGTACAGGTATGGAACTTTCAGCATATGATATCGGTAGCCCAAACTTTGCAGGCCGACCAATAGATATCAGGTGTGCGTCGGCAGGAAATCGAACCCTGGAGGAATCAACGGAAGTCACATTTCAGAAGCATCATCTTTTTTCAACTGATTTCCTTACGACGTTTTTTTAATGAATAGCTTTCAGAAGTGTTTTCACCTCACGTTAATCACATGCCAACTGACCACTTATATATATATATATATATATACATCTTAAGAATTAAAACTATAGATTGGAACCATCTATCTGGAAGGAAAGAAAACACGACTATCGAAACACAAAGAACAATTGTAATTCAAGATAAAATATAAAAAAAAGATAATTACCTGGTTGTTCAAAATCCGGATACATTTCTTTAACTAATTCACGTGTTTCCAAGGAATAATCTCTGGCTAATTCTGCTGCTTTCTTTGACAGTTGGACAGCATTTTCAACTTTAGACAGACTAGATAAGGAGACAAAGAGAGGAAGAATGGGAGAGAGAGAGAGCAGGAAAGAAAAGCTTTTGTTTCAGTTCATCTATTACAATGAAATAATCAAGTTTAAATGCAACCAAAGAATCGATACACTATTCTATTTTAGATATGTATATCTTAATAATCACACACACAGCGATGGAGTATTAACAACTGGATAACAAGATTTCAAGCATAAATTATTGCTTTCGATAGAGAAAGAAAGACCAGATTTCCAGCATAAAATGATATCATCATTCTATTTCACAGGTTCCCTTCATCAGGTGCAGATCACTACCTGAAATTACAATGGTTATCACTAATAACATTTCATACTTCAATGTTTGAAAGGTGATAGAGGAAACATTATAAGATGAATTATTATTATTATATCCTTTAATTCCTAGAGGAACATAGGGCTTCAGCCGCCCAAGTCTCCATTGCCTTCTGGTTTCTGCCAACTTTTTCACTCCGCTCCAAGTCTGCCCACATGCTTTTATCTCCTCCTCACATGACCTCCTCCTACAAGTCACCCTTGCACTGATGACCAACTCGCCGCTTCTCTTTCTGGTTCCACTCGAGCGATGGCTTGTCTAGCGATGTCACTTGGTGGTTTCCTCCGAGTATAGCCTGTCCATCTCCATTTCTTCCTGCCTATTTGTTTCACAATCGGTTCCTGGCTGGTTCGCTCATTGCCAGAGATCCTCATTGTTGCTGATCTTTTCTGGCCAGCCATCTGATCCTGAGTATTGAGCGAAGACAACTGTTAATGAAGGTCTAAAGTTTGTTTGAGATGCTCTTTATGAATGCATCCGAAATATAAGTATTACAATACTTTTCAGTTTAATTTACCATCAATTTATATGTTATCAAACTATGAAAAAAAGGGGAGGGGTGAGTGAAGACACTAAAATCGAATAAACAGTGTTATCTTGTACGTGTCAAAATGGCAACTCAAGAAGGTTAAAATTGATCAAAATGAAAACTTGCTCAGTGAGTTCATCTCACTAGTGTGTATGACTAATCAGTAGAACGAAAGTAATACAGTTACCAAAGCAGTGCGAGATTGACTACACTCTCTCTGTCTGTATGCATAAGTTTGGTCTGAGACGTTTGATTGCAATTGCTTCAGCAGCAAATCGTAGTAGATTCGCTGTCTTTTGTATGTTTAATATTTTGAAGGATTTGGAAATGCAGACAAAATAACCCGTATCCACAAGGTGCTTTGTCTGGTAATTGCACTTTGTAAATATCTGCTTCCTTTTAGGCATAAGTTTCTTGGAATATGCTCTGAAAACCAGATAGAAGTCTTTCTTTCTGTCCTTCCAATGTAGTTGCTGCCGCAGGTACACGTAAATTTATAAATGCAGTTGGAGGTAACATCATCAGGGTACTTATTCAGTGCATGTAGGGCTGTATGGTGTCACCAGCTTAGTTGCAGGGAAGCATCTGTTTATTGCTCCTTTCACCGTCTTTTCAGCCGTTTGCGATACTCTTTCTCCTTTGTATGGGAGGCAAATGAACACTTTCATCTTTTCAACTGTTGGATACTTCTCTTTCTCATCTCTTTCCTTGTTATACTTTAGGATAAGTCCCCTTGGATACCTTGTTAGGCAAACATAACTTCCTGGCTCTGTCGTACAGTGTCCTTACTAGTCCCCGATTATAGCTTACAGGGCAGAAGCCGTTGTAGTGAAGGTATTATCCAGTCCAGGTTTCTTTTCTGCAGATGGAGTTTTCAACAGTTCCATCGTTTCTTCCTCTTACATTTAGGTCCAGGAAATTGAACTCGTCGTTGTGTTCATATTCCATGGTGAATTTAGTGTTTGGATAGATCTCATTAAGGCGGTCAAATAATACGGATGCCTAACTCATGTCGTTACAATCAAAAAACGTATCATCAAAATATCGACGATAGTATGTTGTTTCAATGATATCGTCACTCAGTCGCGTCTGTTCGAGATAACCCAAGAAGACGTTGGCTAGAATATGTTTTAAAGGTGAAACCATGGCGAACCGCGTCAATTTGTCGGTAGAATTGGTTGTTGAATTTGAATTTGATGTCTTTTGTGCAAAGAATTAGTAGGCGCTTCATCTCTGTTTCTGGTAATGGCAATAGATCTGTTTGTCTACAAGTGATGTCTATTGTTTCCATCACTGGTACCTCTGTAAATACGGCAGTTACGTCATATGACATCATTAGTTTATTTGATATATCAACATGGCCGACTTCTTTAAAAATTGGAAGGTGTCATCCAAGCTATGAATTGCGAATTTCTGTTAAATTGACTTCAATGATCAATCATTTTATACTGTAAATCTGGTCTTTCTTTCTCTATCGAAATTTATCAAGGGAACCAAATCTATGAAACTATTGTTTTTTTTCAAATTCGACCACAGATTGATATCAGCTAGAGAACCATTGAAAACCAGTTGAGAGTACTGGACAGCTGTTTCGTCAGCCTAGTTTGGGATTCGTCGGCAGTACGTACCCACTGCTAGGGTTCGGACCCAGGACCTCCCGGTTACAAAGCAAGCTCGTCGACGACCATTCAGCCACTGGGACAGGATTCAACGACCAACCCATAAATTCTAACTTCTATCAATAATATATATATATATATATATATATATATATATATTCTTCAACCAATCACTGACCGTGTGCTTTTGGCTTACATTAAACGACATCTGAAGGAATGTGGACACTTCTTTAAACAGCCATGAGTTAGCTTTTGCAGTATTTGAAAGAAACGTATCGTATTCAATATATTTACGCATCTCCAAATACTTTGTCCTGGAATATATTCTACCGAGATTTGCCTAGTTTGCCAGTGTAGCGTCAGAAGGAAACGGCCAGGCAAAAAATCGTCTAATGAGAAAATCAACGGATAGTTTTAGATTTTTATGTTAGCAGAGAAGCAACCTCTTCTGATTGGTTGTTTTTCTTGCTTAAGGTTACTCTGTACTGCTTGTGACTGTTTCTTAGAAAGTGAAGCTATATATCTGTGAATCGTATCCACCCATGCTAAGTCTTCTGTGATTGGTTAGTGAGTCCCTCAAGGTTAAGCTTTGTTATTGTTTTATCTCGTGACCGCGATTCGGGACGTAAACATTGACGTTAATTGTTGTCTACAATTTTGGCTTGCAGACAGCTCTTACCACATCCGGACTGGCTGCTCCAGTGTCATCGAGTTGATCATTCGCTTGCATCACTGTTCTTTAACCTGTCCAGTAGAACGCTACAACCTTATTTTCAAACTATAATTTACATAAGTGTTTGAAGCATACTTCTTCATTGTGATTTCATGTTTTCTATATCGATTTGCAATGTTTCTTACTCCTGTTGATCGTGATATATATATATATATATATATATATATATATATATATATATAGCTGTTCGATAGTATAGAAGATTTGTAGTTGAGGTGGATGATTTGCAATTAGTAGTGTTCCATGAGGTGCCTCTGTGGCATAGCGGTTAGGACGCTCGCCGGCCATGCACATGGTCCAGGGTTCGATCCCCGGCCATGCCCATGGTCCAGGGTTCGTCCCCGGCCACTGACACACTCCTTTACCTCACTAAGCCAGAATTAATGCTGGTGAAGAGGAAAGGTTGGGCATGAGGCTAGCAACCCCATCCCGTAAAATAAACACTTCTGCAGAAACTTCAAGCCACTAGCTTGAAGGTGCCCTATGTTCCAATGGGGAACGTGAAGGAAAAAAAATGTTTTCTGAGCCGGTAGGTTTAGTTGTGGAGCTTTCATCGTCCTTCTGAAGATGTTGTCCATAAGGACGACGAAAGCTCCATAACTAAACCAACCAGCTTAGAGAACACTACTGATTGCAAAGCTGTTTGATAACTTGTAAATATACCTTGGCTTCTGTGTCTCGCCTTCAGCTGTGGCAACGTTACATACTGTGCGTCGGTGGCACAGTGGTTAGGACTCTCGCCGACCATGCACATGGTCCGGGGTTCGATCCCCTGCCGACGCACACCTGATATCTATGGTCGGCCTGCAAAATTTGGGCTACCGATACCCATGCTGAAAATTCCATACTTGTACCGAAAATACAGTGTGGAATCAAGCTGTAAATCAAAAATAAAAATCAATAAGTACAGCAACAGTTCTTATATTTTACTGACTTAAAATCTCAACTCGCCTATAAAAGCATCATGATTATTTTCAATAATAATTGTTCTGAATTTTATCTCTGTTGAACTAAAGTGAGTTAAAATCATAACTGAAATATAAAATTTCATTATATATATCGATTGTAAGCAGTTGGTTGACAGAATACTAACCGACTAAGCAAACAATAGATCTGTCATATCCTTCACCATGTCTTGTACAAACGTGTCGGCTGTTCAGAGATGATATTAGGATTAAGAACTACTAGTCTGGGCTCAAATTTAAGCCACATATCATGATGATATCTTTTCGGCGAATTTAGAACAGAGAGGAGTTCATTACTACTAATAATAAACAAACTAGATCTATTGGTTATAACTTCATTTTTTTTCTTATATAAACTCAGACTGGATGCCTTAACGTCATTGCTGAATTAATCATTTTTTCGGTCACTCTTCTTTATCTCCTCCCCTTCTTACTAGTGGTGTATGTAATTCTTTGTATGCCTGAAACCTTGATGTTCTTCACTACACAGCCGCTCATTACACTAACACCCCTTTTAACTCTTTGCTTTCCATACGGACCTTATGGCTTCAGTGTATGAAGTTTCCGTAGCAATGATGTTTGAAACCATGTACTACTACTAACCAGTCAGTAGTGCTTGCCAGCCAAATCGAGGTGATATAAACTGGGGAGTGCTGTTTCTCTCTCTCTCTCTCTCTCTTTAGGGGTCGAGCTCATCATCGGTGTACACGACTTGACTCAACCCAACACAGCTGAACCATTTCAAGCCATCTGAGTACTGCTGGCTGGTGTGTACGGTGTGCAATTGCTCATCACAATTATTCAGTAGTAGTATATAGCTTTAATTTCTCAATTACTATTTATGATATCAAGCAGGTCATATATTGAGTGGGATCTGGATCATTTCGGTTTGTGTGTAAATTCCAGATTTGTTATAGCGGTGGTTTAGTTCAACTAGTAGGTTGGGGTTTCTAGCCTCATGCTAGCCCAGTCTTCCCTGATTTCCGGTCTTACTGTTGGTTAATAGTAAGCCAAGTGAAATTTAAGCGTCAGTTTTCCGGGAATCGAACCAAGACCATATGTTTGGCTTGTAAGAATTCCTCAACTGAACCACAAGTGTACCATCATGCTAGTTTTGCGGTGAGAGCTGTCTGCTAGCCAAAATTGCTAGACAGCAATTTACCTCAATGTTTACCTCCCAAATCTTGGTCATGAGAAAAAAATAATAAGAACAAAGATTAACTCAACAACCAATCACAGAAGACTTAGCGTGGGCGGATACAATTCGCAGGTATATCAACGGACTGTCTAAGAAACGGTAACAAAGAAATGACAGAATGACCTTGAGCAGGAAAACAACCAATCAGAAGGCATCGCTCCTCTGCTAGCAATAACGCTAATGATAATGTACATAAAAAATGTATAAATATCTATTGATTTTCTCAGTGAACGACCAGTTGCCTGACCCTCGTCTTCTGTCATTACAGTTACGCAGTTTTTGAGAATAGTCATCATGTTATAAAGAAATTCACTGGGAAAAAAAGCAAAACAGTTGATAGTTTGAAGGGTCTCTTCATACAAAACCCGGAAGTAAACTTTTTAATACTACTCGCTTACTTTTCTCTAGCCTCTTTAGCTTTGATCTGTGCATCCTCGGCGATATTCCTTGCTCGCTTCACAGCATTGGCTACCTCACGCATTATATGATAATTATATAAAAATAAATGTGGTTTAGTGCCTTTAGGCCATGACAGAAATACTAATTTTCCATTTTGATATCTGCCTTGTTCACATGCACCATCTGGAAAATGTGTTTGACCATAACCGTGTCGTTGATTTCTAACCCATTGACCTTCATAGATAACACCATCGGATCGTTCGCATACACCGTAGCCATGCCGTGAATCTGCTTCCCATTGACCAGAAAATGTTTCAACTGTTTCGGGATCAATTGCATCCACCTGGATGAATGAAAACAAGCAAATAGTAGAGAAAGAACGGGGGAGAGAGAGAATGAAATAAAAATGAAAGCATATCGATGATTATAGGATATAACTTAAATATTGAAGACATTTCATTCCCGTAGTAAATATAAAACGAGCAACTACAACAACTGTGGGAAAAGTAGCAGTAGTATTTAATGAATTCGTAATTATCGATAGGACTCCTCAGCCGAATACTCTACAAACATTTTTATTCATACAGTTTTAATACTGAGTCTTTCCATCAACTACCTGAAGGAACTACTTATCAGATGCACATGTAATACCAAATTCAAATTCGATGGACAATTCTATGTAGAAAAAGATGGTGTAGCTATGGGGTCTCCTCTCAGTTCACTCCTAGCTGACAACTTCATTGCGAGTCTCCAAAACAACAACCTAGATCCTGTAATAAGTCAACTGCATTTATACAGGAGGTGCATATATGATACGTTTATAATCTGTGATGAAAATCTGATTTAGATTCTCTCCTCAAAATCTTTAACGCAGTACACTCATCAGTAAAATTCACCTTAGAACATGAGTCGAACATGACATTTCTATTCGTGGATATGGTAATTACCAGCAGACAAGACTACACGATTCAAAGATCAATATATCGCAAGTCAAATATGGACGGGATATTCTATCAACTTCCAAAACTTTTTATCACTGATCTGAAAGCGAAACCTGGTACGTACATTAAATTCAAGGATTCGAAAATTCTGTTCAGAAGACTTGATAGAAAAAACAATTAAATTCATTATGTGAAACGCCACTAGAAAACAGGTATCCTTTAAAATTTATCGACAAAAACATGAAGGAGAAGTCTCCGGTGTCAAACATCACAACGGGTCCTAAGAAGACTCTCTTCATGAACCTAGAATTCATAGGTGACATCGCAGCGGAAATTCTCAGAAACCGCCTTTCCAAAAGTCACCTTACGTACAACATTCTCCAGTGGACAGTTAATCCAGTCCAACTTTAAGTGTAGGATATACCACTTTTGGCCATCTCACTGTGTATTTTTTAGTTTACCTGCTTCTGTAGAGCAAAGTATGTCAGCCATATGCAACGTCAAGTTCACAAATTTATTCTGGAACATTGTCCAGCCTGGCTAGCTAACCAGAGGAGAAAAGAAGAATACTAGCAACTCCATCCTCGAACACCTTATCAACTCTGGATATCGAGCAACCTCACTTACACGAATGCTTCACACTGCTATACAAAATCTCTCAATATCGTACAAAGGGACTTCGAATACGCCATCTGTACATAGCTGAATCATTGGCTATTTGGGATCTGAAAGCGGACTTCTGCATTCAAAAGCGTTACATACATGCTCTCGTCCTACCGTAGCCAGAGTAACGTTTTCACTATAATTTTGACTCCTTTTACTATGTAAGTTTACAATTATTATTATTATTATTGTTCACATCATCCATATTTTATTATCACTCGATTACTGCTTATTAATGACACTGCGTTTTCATACAGATGTTATACAAAAACACCTTATCGTCTTTCCACTAGTTCATTCTACACAATTTTATTGATTAGTCATTATCTCACACCTATTACATCATGCCAACTTCTATCACCTTTTCTAGGTCACGCCTTACATGACGTAATACGTTTTCGTAGACAAATTTTTACCAATATCTGATTCGTCTTTCTTTGTTAAATATAAATTACAATTATTGTACAGCAGCTTCTGAATGAGATTGAATCGTCAAAAAGAAAATATTTTCGCTGTTTACCTCATTTTCTTATAAAATTTTGTTTCAGGGTTAAAAATAAACACACAAAGACATGAAGATTATGACAACAGGAAATAAGGATCAATTTGAACAAATATGCGATCTGTAAGGGATAGATGAGGGATAATCTGTCGCTGTCATCATTTAGAAGAAGCAATAAAGGTTATTAAAGCAGGATGATTTAATGAATTCATCAAATTTCGGTAGAACTCGTCAGCTGAATACTACTCTACATACACGGATATATATATACTCTTGAAATTACATTGGGAGATATAACACTGATAAGTAAATAAACTATATTGATTTTGATGTGGTTGTGTTCTCTGAGCTGGATAGTTAATTTACGAAGCTTTCATTGCCCCCACCACTAAGCGCCATCTTTAGCGCATACTTCAATTCGTTGAAGTGAGCTTTTAGATTTCTCCACGAGTTTATCAGTCATCTCTACTGGTGACCTTGGAGGCGACTGGTTGTTTTTGTGTGTTTTCACACCTTCTAGGTTACTTGTATTGGACCTGCTTGTTTCAAGTCAAAGAAACAATCAGAGATGATTAATAAACTCGTGGAGAAATCTAAAAGCTCACTTCAATGAATTGAAGTATGCGCTGAAGATGTCGCCTAGTAGGGCGATGAAAGCTTAGCAAATTAACTATCCAGCTCAGAGAATGCAACCACATCAGGATCATCTACCTGAGCTACGAATCTTTTCTTTCATATCTAAACTATATTGAATTAGTCATGCAGAAAGACAGGTGCGAATGTTTTCCAGGTCATGTTCAAATAGATAAGAGGAGACAGAGTATGAGAGATCAAAATTAAGATAAAATGCATTACTCTTCAATTACATCACTTAGATAAACAAGGAAGTGAAGACGGAGCCTACTGGACACAAGGTTGAGGAGAGGGACAGATGTGGGTTCAGACCACTGTCTAGTACAAGGTACTTTCAAGGTGAAGCTAAAAGCCTTGAGGATACCTGGGGATAGGCCACAATGCAAGTTCAACACTCAAAAACCGAAGGACACAACCACAAAGGACACCTTCACTGCAACTGTCAGAGCAAAGCAGGAAACACTACGCAACATCACTGAAGAATCATGCGTGGAAGAACATTGGAAGTCTCTGAAGGCGATTCTCAACGAAACGTGTTCAACGGTTCTAGGAAGAAAGAGGAGACAAGACAAGGAATGGCTCACAACGGGCACTTGGAAGCCAATAGAGGAGAGGAGAATGGTGAAAGAGAAAATGATTCAATGCAAGGATGGATAGGAGAAGGAGACGCTGAGCCCAACTTATACAGCACTGGACAAAGAAGTGAAGAAGAGTGCTAGGAAAGACAAAAGACGACACTACGACAACCTCGCTACTGACGCTGAAAAGGCAGCAGGCAAAAAGGACCTGAGGACACTATATCAGATAACCAAATCTCTATCCGTGAAGAGATCAACACAAGCGAAAACTATAAAAGACAGCCAAGGGAACCCAATCACCAAGGAAGAAAAACAGATTAAACAATGAGCGGATCACTTCAAAGGACTCTTTAACCGACCACCACCTGCAACCCGTCCAGAAATACCAACAACAGTGCGCACACAACTGCAAGTTGACACCAATCTTCCAACGAGAGCTGAAGTCTTGAATGCAATCAAGCTTCTGAAAGCTGGAAAAGCAGCTGGACCAGATGGAATACCCCCTGATGCACTAAAAGTGGACCCAGAGACTACAGCAGACATGCTGACTCCATTATTGCAAAAGGTCTGGAAGGAGGGAAAGGTGTCTACTGACTGGAGGAAAGGTTACCTCGTGAAACTACCAAAGAAGGGAGACTTAAGACTCTGCAAGAACTGGTGAGGAATCATGCTCCTGTCGACGCCAAGTAAAATCCTGAGTCGCATCATCCTGCAGAGATTAAAGGACGCACTGGAGACAGAACTCCGACCAGAACAAGCTGGATTCAGGAAAGGCAAATCATGTACTGACCAAATTGCGACTCTACGCATCATCATCGAACAAAGCATGGAATGGCGATCAAACCTCTACCTCAACTTTATACACTTTGAGAAGGCCTTCGACAGCTTTGACCGCGAAGTAATTTGGAAACTACTCGAGTACTTCGGCGTACCCTAAATATTCATCACCCTTATTCAACAGCTGTACAACAACGGAACATGTCAAGTGATCCACAATGGAAAAGTCAGCGAGGCATTTGGAGTAAACACAGGAGTCAGACAAAGGTGCTTATTATCTATCACCAATGATATTCCTAATTGTGGTGGACTGACTGGATTATGCGTCAGATAGTGAGTGGGAAACGAGAAGGCGGGGATATCCTGGACCGACCGACGTGAAGAACCTAGAAGACCTGGATTTCGCGCATGGATGATTTATGTTTGATGTCACTGTCACAAAATCGAAGACTTACAAGCGAAAACCGACCGACAAACTGGTCGGTCGAAGAAGCAACCGGCGAAGACCAGACTCCATGTGAACATAGACAAGACGGAGGTTATGAAAAAGGTAGGTAGTTATTTATTTTTATTTTTGATTACAGCTTGATTCCACACCATATTTTTTGTAAAAGTATGGAATTTTCAGCATGGATATCGGTAGCCCAAATTTTGCAGGCCAACCATAGATATCAGGTGTGCGTCAGCGTGGGCTCGAACCCCGGACCATGTGCATGGTCGGAGAGAGTCCTAACCGCTGTGCCACCGACCAGTAGGGTGTGGCAGATAGGGTATGAGGACAAATACTCGCCGAAGACATTGGCTGGGGGTCGCGCCATGTCGTGAATTGGCAAGAGTTAGAATTCATGGGCCGGCCATTGGATCGGGTCTGAGTGGCTTTATGGTCTACAAGCTAGCTCGCAAGCCTTGTAACCACAATGTCTTGGGTTCGAACCCCGTGGTCTGGATGCGTACTGATGAAGAGCCCCAAACTAGGCTGACGAAACAGCTATTCAGTACTCCCAGGTTTTCCAATGGTTCTTTAACTGATATCACCTGATAATGAAATCCTGTAACCAACCAAATTCCTACAAACCAACACTTAAATAGACGATTTAAGTTAGCTGCTGCTGTCTCCTTTTGTGTCCATAGATTCGGCTTCTTCACTCTGCATTGTGCACGCTCCACCGAAATCAAGAGCTTTTCTACCTTCATGGTCTTGATTTTACTATGTAATTCATTGAAAAGAAACTTTGTTATCCTTCTTTAT